CAATTATCAGTTATCTCCTGTTAATTTCCCTCTGAAAGTTCTCCACTGCCTTAACCGGCTATTGAACTCACACTCTTTGTGTCCTGTCACTGGATCTAACCAACGCCTTTATCCATTGTGCCATGTGTCCTTGAAGATAGCCGGAGCATACAACGGCCGGAACGTTGTAATAAATATGGCGACAAAGATGAGGACAATAGTCCGAATAATGTAAATAATGTACATAATACCTCATCTTAGAAATCTATCTATCTATCTATAAAATCTTGTATTCATCCTTTTGATAGCTTAGTGGACGAGTGAGTTGATTGCAGCCTCTAGTGACCGTGTAGTTTGAACACAGGGAAAATTCCGAGATCGAATGCTGATTTTCTTGGCACGACAGTTTTCCATAATTGTAGAATCAGCGCAACGAAATATCCCAGAATAACATGAAGTATATTTTCCATATTAAAATTAAAAAAAAAAAATAGCAACAACAAAACAAAACAAAAAGCACTACATCTGAGAAAAAACAAAACAAAAAAAAACAAAAACAAAGACAAACAAAAAAAAAACGATATATCTTTGCTCACACAATAAGTAATTTAGTATCTGATCACACCATTTGGTTGAACATGTTTTGCATAAAATGTTTGACAGTAATTGTCAACGTATCTCCTTTGCATCAAAATGAGGTTTAAATGTTTATCCGGCAGATGTTTCCGATGGAGAAAGATAAATTATTTTGATTAAAAAGGCTTTAAAAACAGACTATTTAAAAAAGAAATAATAATTTAAAAAAATATATTAAAATGAAAAGCCATAATAAAATTTGGAATTTACAATAAAAGTTTGTACACATCCACATATTATTTAAATACAGTTTAAAATATTTTTAATTAAAAAAAATAGTATTTGCAAGAATTACACATATGTAGAAATTTAATAAATTATAAGGGATTTTTTTTAATGTACTTGGAAACACAAGCACACACAGACAGACACAATAAAATGAAAAGATGAAGATATTTAAAATATTTCAGCGACGGTATGCAATATGTAAGTATAATTTTCTTTGTTTTAACTTTTGCTTATAGTGAGATTAAAAGTTATTAATTAATGATTATGTATATATATATATATATATATATATATATGTATATATATATATATAATTGGTAGGGCTCATTAAAAGGGGGACATTAATCTAATGAGAGCTCAATGTAAATTACAGAGTATATAATGATAAATTCAGAAAATAACTTAAAAATCAATATAGGTGTTTTCTTAATTGATCCTTATATAAATATATATATATATATATATATATATATATATATATATATATATATACGTGTGTGTGTGTGTGTGTGTGTGTGTGTGTGTTTTCATACGTTTGAATCTATAAATCATGAGATATATAAAAATTGAAATATATGGATATATATATATATATATTAATGCAATATACATATAAATTAAAACTATGTATTTCTATATAAATATATATACATGCATATAAAATTTTATCTATATGTCTATTAATCTATAAATATATTATTGCACACACATACATATAAACAGATACAAGCACAGGCACGCACACACACTTACACTCACATATACTTAGATAGATAGATAGATAGATAGATAGATAGATAGATAGATAGATAGATATGGACAAACTCAGGATAGATAGATAGATAGATAGATAGATAGATAGATAGATAGATAGATAGATAGATATGGACAAACTCAGAGAGATAGATAGATAGATAGATAGATAGATAGATAGATAGATAGATAGATAGATAGATAAAAATCGGCTGGGGATAACGTAATGTTGAAACCAATGTAGCAGATTCAACTGAACTCCTGATTTTTAAATTTAAAAATTATACCTGTAATTTTTACATTTATCTTTTCACACGTGTATTGAGCATTGTCAATACCACTGTTTCCTGGTCTACTTCGACTCGACCATTAACCTTTTATGTATATATATATATATATATATATATATATATATATATATATATATATATATATATATATCAGTATATCATTGTGTGTTGAATGTAGAAACCGCGAAGAGATATCCTAAAAGAAATGTTTTGTAATTTGATAAGTTTTTGGGATGGCTGTCTGTACGGGATGATCAGTACAATATGGAAGCTGTGTAGAGATTGAGCAGGTATTGAGGGACAGTAATATATTTGGTTCTTGTTGAAGGTTCTTTGGCAATGTCGACATAAAAACACAAACAACGACCTGACATTGAAAATTACGACGCTTAAACCCATTCCCCAATGTCGGGACGCCATTTCCGAGTTTAAAAACAGGAAGGGAGAACATTAATCATCATGGATGAAAATCATTATCGCTCTAGCCTGTTTCTTCCCCCAACTCTCTCTGTTTTACTCTCTCTCTCTCTCTCTCTCTCTCTCTCTCTCTTGGTCTGTTTTCTGTTCACGTTTGTCTCTTTCTTTCTCTTTTCAACTTTCTCTCTTTGTCTCTCTCTCTCTCTCTCTCTCTCTCTCTTGGTCTGTTTTCTGTTCACGTTTGTCTCTTTCTTTCTCTTTTCAACTTTCTCTCTTTGTCTCTTTCTCTCTCTCTCTCTCTCTTGGTCTGTTTTTCTGTTCGTTTGTCTCTTTCTTTCTCTTTTCAACTTTTCTCTCTTTTCTCTTTCTCTCTCTCTCTCTCTCTCTTGGTCTGTTTTCTGTTCACGTTTGTCTCTTTCTTTCTCTTTTCAACTTTCTCTCTTTGTCTCTCTCTCTCTCTCTCTCTCTCTCTCTTGGTCTGTTTTCTGTTCACGTTTGTCTCTTTCTTTCTCTTTTCAACTTTCTCTCTTTCTCTCTCTCTCTCTCTCTTTACGTCTCTCTCGCTTTGTGTATTTCTGCCTCTCTTACTGCCGGTCTCACTTTGTGTATTTGTTTCTGCTTCCGCCTCTCACTCTTTGCCTCTTTCTCTCTCCCTCAGCCTGCCTCTATCTCTTTGTAGGTTTGTCTCTTTGAGTCCATCCATCCATCTCTCTCTCTCTCTCTCTTTGATTCCCTCTCCCTCAGTGTGTCTTTCTCTCTTTGTCTCTTTCTCATTCTCTGTCTTTCTGCCTCTTCCTCTTTGACCTTTTGTGTCTCCCCTCTCTCTTTGTCTCTTAGTCGCTTTCTCTCTCCCACACAGACAAGCATAAACATGCGAACATGCACTCAGACTCAAATAAAATACACACACACACACACGCACACGCACACACACACACATACGTAGACACACGCAAACACACGCAGACACACAAATATAAACATATATATATATATATATATATATATATATATATATATATATATATATTCTAAAGAAGAATGAGTTTTATTTATTAATACGACAGATTTTTTATCAATTCAAACGTGCTCAGATGATCAGTTTCCTTCTCAAATATGAGTATCTACTAAAATTACTTTTAATATTATATATATATATATATATTTGTGTGTGTGTGTATGTGTATGTATACAATTCTAAAAATATACTTACAGTAAATTATTTGCTTATTTGAATTAATTTTAATTTTATCAGTAAGTAAATAAATATATATATATATATATATATATATATATATATATATATATATATATATATACATACATATATATATATATTTATATGCTTATTTGAATTAATTTTTATTTAATCCTTATATATATGTGTGTGTGTGTGTCTGTGCCTCTATTTGTGTAAATATATATATACATCTTTTGAAAAAGAGAATTTAATTTTATGTATGCGAAATAAATAAATGTATATGTATATACATATATAGTAATATGCTTATTTGAATTAATTTTTATTTACTCATATATATATATATATATATATATATATATATATATATATATATATATATATATATATATATGCCTACATAGCAGAAAACAAAGAATAAAAGAAAAATTAAAAAATTATTTAGTAATTTTTAAGAATTAAAAGATAACAGACATCATCAGTCGGTTCATTTTTTTTTTTTATAATCGAATATTGTGTCCCCAATTCTGGATAATTTGTCGGGAAATTCAGCTTTCGTAATGCGAGTGTAGATAGGGAGATAGATAAAATAACAACATGCCTACCACACAGACACTAAATTGGTTTTGTAAATAACTGAAATAGTAGAACAAAATAGTAACTAATTATGAACTTGGGATGGTTTAAACAAATTATTGAACAAAATAATTAATACATAAAGTTAAATATTTGAAGCGTATAATAAAATGTAATAGTAGAAGTTTAAGGGCATTTTAAAGTATATATATATATATATATATATATATATATATATATATATATATATATATCAGCATATATTCATTATAAATATACATACATATATATAATGCATAAATGTGCATAATAGTTAAAATTTAATACCGGTAGATATCTGCATGTATAAAAATTCAGAAATTTAATAAGGAAATAAGATTAATTTAAAATATTCTACTAAAAATATATGTCGTTTAAAAAAAATTGTCATCAAAAGAATTGCAACATAAATATATGAATACATATTAACACACACATGCACACACACATATACGTATATATACATAGATATACGTATATATGTATATTCATATATATATAAATATATATATATATATATATATATCTGTGTGTGTGTATGTATGTACAAGTATTTGAAGATTTTCGTGAAATCAAAATGCTATCTGGATCTAGATCTATATCTACCAACAATTGCACACACACATTACATATAAATATATTGATATTTCGTAAGAGACAACCAATGAAAATAATTGTATAATTGAGCGGGAATATTCATTTAAATCATCCTGTTAGGAATGTGTAATGTCTTCTGTGTGTATAAGTGTTTGCTTCATCAGTATGTGTGTGTGTGTGTCTGTGTGTGTGTGTATTTATCTATCAATCTCTCTCTATCTCGCTCTCTGTCTCTCTCCCTCTCTCTCTCTCTCTATATATATATATATATATAAATTATCACACAATATATAAAATAACTACATATATAAATATATATATCAATCTATCTATATATCTATCTCTATATGTAATATATATATATATATATATATATATTTATCTATATATATATATACATAAATTATCAGTCTATATATATTATCTTTTAAAATATATTATCTATCTATCTTTATATATATATATATATATATATATATATATATATATATATATATATATATAAACTATATAATTAATACAGGCCAGTATATTATGTAAAACTTGTTGGTTATAATTTGCTATATATTCTAACTACGAAAAGAACA